GCTAGGGATACTATTGCTATTGGTATTAATAATTTTAATAATTACTAACTATCATTCAGGGAATCTCAGCTAGCAATAGAAAATATGTCCCTTATATATTCCTTCACTAGAGGGTGTGTCCTAATGCTGATCCTGACAGGTATGCGACTTTATGGTCTTTATGGCCAATCTTATATACGGTGCAAAAACAAAGGTAGCAGAATGATAATGAAACACTAACAATATCGTATATACTACTGCGAACAATAACAACAATACAAAATGAAACCACATGCAATGGCATATATGTATATACATTTACAAAAAGTAATAGATATCTAAATCAAACAAATAATGATATTACAACATCATCATAAAAATAATCATATTATGCTAATATTGCAATAATGATGAAGTTTCCCCCATGGTAAAAACATCGCTTGATCTACCCTTCAGCTGTGTCACAAGCACTGGCCAGAGCTGCTGTATGGAAGCCTTTGACGGTTTTCGTGGCCAAGGCTGGTGGTTCCCAAAAATTCTGAAGGAAATGGGTTGGTTTCCAGCGATGGATTTTAATAAAACCGCACAAATTTTGGCCAAGACATCAGCAGGGCATGTCGAGGGCATAAAATTCAGCACATTTTGAAGGTATCCTTGGGACTGCCTGTCCAAATGATGGGATTGGCTCAAAGTCATCATTTTCGGATCTCAAAACTTCAATGGTAGACGTTTTAGATCGCAACAATGACCCGCAGAAAAAAAAGCGCGGGTGTGATAGGGTGCTACACAGAACCATATCCTCCAGTTGTCTGCAGGGACCCTTCACCACTGCGCCTGCTGGTCGATCTTGCGCTGGAACCAAGAGGCCCAGACCCAGCCTGGAGATGGAAGGTGTCCATATTGGTCCATCTATCTGGTGCTTCTTCCACTTGATATACCTGATTGTATGATGGACCAATCAATACATGTATATATGACAAGATATACCTTAGATAGTCTTATATAACTCCTTTTAAACAAGATGGAAGCCACGAACCCGAATGTATTCACGTTCTTGGACTACGAGTGCAAACCTCTGCAATAGGGAAACGAACCTTTGTTTGCATGCATCGTGCGGTTCACAAAGAGACAACTAACCAGCACAACAACATCACCACAAGCACAATGAAATCACAACCAGCACAACAATATCACCAGCGCAATGAAATCAAAATAAAAATCACCAACACAACAGCATCACCAGCACAGCAACATCACCAGCACAACGAGATCACCACCACCTGCCACACTCCACACTTTACCCACTGCACACTCCACACTCCACACTTTACACTCCACACTCCGCACACTACACTTTACACTCCACACTCCACACTCTACACTTTACACTCTACACTTTACACTCTACACTTGACACTCTACACTTCACACTCGACACTTTCCGCTCCGCACTCCACACTCTACACTCTATACTCCAGGCTCCACACTTTACACTTTACACTCATCACTCCTCACTCCACGCTCTACGCTCTACACTCCACACTCCACCACACTCCACCACACTCAACACTCTACACCCACCACACTCCTCACTCCACACTCCACACTTTACATTCCACACGCCACACTTTACACTCCACACTCGCCGCTTTCCACTCCACACTCCACACTCTACAGTTTACACTCCACACTTTACACTTTACACTCCTCACTCCACACTCAACACTTTACACTCCACACTCCTCACTCCTCACTACACACACTACACTCCACACTCCACACTTCACACGCCACCCTCCACCACATTCTACACTCTACACCGCACTCCTCACTCCATACTCCACACTTTACACTCCACACGCCATACTTTACACTCCACACTCCACACTTTACACTCCACACTCCACACTTTGCACTCCACACTCTACACTACACTATAACCTCCACACTCCACACTCTACACTTTACACTCTTACTTTTTACAATCTACACTACACATTCCACACTCTACACGCTCTACACTCCCCACTCCACACTATACAAAGCACTTCCCAGTACTACTTTGTACTGCAAAGCTTGCACAAACTACTTCCCAGTACTTTGTACTACACAGCTTGCACAAAGCACTTCCCAGTACTACTGTGTACTACACAGCTTGCACAAACTACTTCCCAGTTCCACTTTGTACTACAAAGCTTGCACGAAGCACTTCCCAGTACCACTTTGTACTACAAAGCTTGCACGAAACCGTTCCCAGTACTACTCTGTACTACAAAGCTTGCACAAAGCACCTCCCAGTACTACTTTGTACTACAAGGCTTGCAAAGTCGTTCCCAGTACTACTGTGTACTACAAAGCTTGCAACAACTACTTCCCAGCACTACTTTCTACTACAAAGCTTGCACAAAGTCGTTCTCAGTACTACTTTGTACTACAAAGCTTGCACAAAGTCGTTCCCAGTACTACTGTGTACTACAAATGCACAAACACGTGCCAGTACTACTGTGTACTACAAAGCTTGCACAAACTACTTCCCAGTACTACTGTGTACTACAAAGCTTGCAGAAGCACGTTCCCAGTACTACTGTGTACTACAAAGCTCGCACAAACTACTTCCAAGTACTACTGTGTACTACAAAGCTCGCACAAACACGTTCCCAGTACCACTGTGTACTACAAAGCTTGCACAAACTACTTCCCAGTACTACTGTGTACTACAAAGCTCGCACAAACTACTTCCCAGTACTATTGTGTACTACAAAGCTTGCACAAAGCACTTCCCAGTACTACTGTGTACTACAAAGCTTGCACAAAGCACTTCCCAGTACTACTGTGTACTACAAAGCTTGCACAAAGCACTTCCCAGTACTACTGTGTACTACAAAGCTTGACAAAGCACTTCCCAGTACTACTTTGTACTACAAAGCTTGCACAAAGTCGTTCCAGTACTACTGTGTACTACAAAGCTCGCACAAACTACTTCCCAGTACTACTGTGTACTACAAAACTTGCACAAAGCACTTCCAGTACTACTGTGTACTACAAAGCTTGCACAAAGCACTTCCCAGTACTACTGTGTACTACAAAGCTTGCACAAAGCACTTCCCAGTACTACTGTGTACTACAAAGCTTGACAAAGCACTTCCCAGTACTACTTTGTACTACAAAGCTTGCACAAAGTCGTTCCAGTACTACTGTGTACTACAAAGCTCGCACAAACTACTTCCCAGTACTACTGTGTACTACAAAACTTGCACAAAGCACTTCCAGTACTACTGTGTACTACAAAGCTTGCACAAAGCACTTCCCAGTACCACTTTGTACTACAAAGCTTGCACGAAACCGTTCCCAGTACTACTGTGTACTACAAAGCTTGCACAAAGCAATTCCCAGTACTACTTTGTACTACAAGGCTTGCAAAGTCGTTCCCAGTACTACTGTGTACTACAAAGCTTGCACAAAGTCGTTCCAGTACTACTGTGTACTACAAAGCTCGCACAAACTACTTCCCAGTACTACTGTGTACTACAAAGCTTGCACAAAGTCGTTCGCAGTACTACTTTGTACTACAAAGCTTGCACAAAGCACTTCCCAGTACTACTGTGTACTACACAGCTTGCACAAACTACTTCCCAGTACTACTGTGTACTGCACAGCTTGCACAAACTACTTCCCAGTACCACTTTGTACTACAAAGCTTGCACGAAGCACTTCCCAGTACCACTTTGTACTACAAAGCTTGCACGAAGCACTTCCCAGTACCACTTTGTACTACAAAGCTTGCACGAAACCGTTCCCAGTACTACTGTGTACTACAAAGCTTGCACAAAGTCGTTCCCAGTACTACTTTGTACTACAAAACTCGCACGAACACGTTCCCAGTACTACTTTGTACTACAAAGCTTGCACAAAGTCGTTGGCGACATCGACGCAGCAAAAGATACAAGGTTTTGCAGCTTCCCCTGAAGACACTGCGACATCTACGTAGCAAAAAACACGAGGTTTTGCAGCTTCCCCTATAGACATGGCAACGTCCACGTAGCAAAAAGCACGATGTTTTGTAGCTTCCCCTATAGACACGGCGACGTCCACGCAGCAAAAGATACGAGGTTTTGCAGCTTCCCCTATAGACACTGCGACATCTACGTCGCAAAAAGCACGATGTTTTGTAGCTTCCCCTGTAGACACGGCGACGTCCACGCAGCAAAAGATACGAGGTTTTGCAGCTTCCCCTATAGACACTGCGACATCTACGTCGCAAAAAGCACGAGCTTTTTGCAGCTTCCACTATAGACACGGCGACGTCCACGTAGCAAAAAACACGAGGTGTTGCAGCTTCCCCTATAGACATTGCGACATCTACGTAGCAAAAGACGCGAGGTTTTGCAGCTTCCCCTATAGACACTGCGACATCTATGTAAGCAAAAAGCACGAGGTTTTGCAGCTTCCCCTATAGACACTGCGACATCTACGTCGCAAAAGACAGGAGGTTTTGCAGCTTCCCTTATAGACACTGCGACATCTACGTAGCAAAAAACACGAGGTTTTGCAGCTTCCCCTATAGACACTGCGACATCTACGTAGCAAAAAACACGAGGCGAGGTTTTGCAGCTTCCCCTATAGACACTGCGACATCTACGTGAAAAACGCGAGGTTTTGCAGCTTCCCCTATAGACACTGCGACATCTACGTAGCAAAAAACACGAGGTTTTGCAGCTTCCCCTATAGACACTGCGACATCTACGTAGCAAAAAACACGAGGTTTTGCAGCTTCCCCTATAGACACTGTGACATCTACGTCGCAAAAAACACGAGATTTTGCAGCTTCCCCTATAGACACTGCGACATCTACGTCGCAAAAAACACGAGGTTTTGCAGAATCCCTTATAGACACTGCGACATCTACGTAGCAAAAAAACACGAGGTTTTGCAGCTTCCCCTATAGACACTGCGACATTTATGTAGCAAAAAACACGAGGTTTTGCAGCTTCCTCTATAGACACTGCGACATCTACGTCGCAAAAGACACGATGTTTTGCAGCTTCCCCTATAGACACTGCGACATCTACGTAGCAAAAAACACGAGGTTTTGCAGCTTCCCCTATAGACACTGCGACATCTACGTAGCAAAAAACACGAGGTTTTGCAGCTTCCCCTATAGACACTGCTTCCCCTATAGACACTGCGACATCTACGTCGCAAAAGACACGAGGTTTTGCAGCTTCCCCTGTAGACACTGCGACATCTACGTTGCAAAAGACACGAGGTTTTGCAGCTTCCCCTATAGACACTGCGACATCTACGTCGCAAAAGACACGAGGTTTTGCAGCTTCCCCTATAGACACTGCGACATCTACGTCGCAAAAAACACGAGGTTTTGCAGCTTCCCCTATAGACACTGAATTAACGACGCGAAAAACGTCGCGAAAACGACGCGACGACCAACTGGCGGCGAACAAAGGTCCAACCCCCAGACGCCCAACTATAAACGGGAACCCTTCGCTACGCATTCGGGAAAAAATGACATTTGCCGAGCCCCTTCAGGGATGGTCAGGCAGATTTGTTTGGTGACCCTGCCTGTCAAAGCGAACAGCCATGGCAGCCGGCACACCGCAGGCTGCAATGGGAGCAACTAGCCTGCCACCGCGTTTCAGAATCATGACTAATTAGCCTTGTATGGCACACGTGTGAAGAATAAGTTTCGAACCTGGTTTGCCCTGCTGGAAAGTCTCCCAGCTCGATGATTCTCCTAGCTATAAACCTCAGGGGATTTTCCATTGCCCCGTTTGATTACCGGAGCGTACAGCATTTCAAAGGCACGCGGCGCGGCACATGGCCTAAATAAGAACGTGCCCGTGCTGGAATATGCCGCAAGGCAACCCAAATCTCTCCTGGCAAGTTTCAATCCTGTGGGTAGAGAGTCATGCACCACATGGCGTTGTCTGAAAATGATGTGTCCCGAAATCGACTGGTTAATCGTCATTTTCCGTCTGAAAATTGTTATTTGGGAGGTATACCCCATACTCCAAACACACACCCATACATCATATCAATTTGCTGATATATTCCACTCATATCCCATGAAATCTCTATATTTTAATGCATAAAATCCCTGGTGATCATGATTTTTCATTGTGATTTTACGTTCTATTGCCATTAACTTGGAGCTCTGGACGTGCCATAAGAAAAATCACCGCCAAGTGACTTAAACGGGCTATGGAGGGAGCGCAGCGGAAAAGCTGCCGCAATACCATAGAGAAGCCAAAAGAAGGCCTCCACACCCACCAACAGGAAAACGCAGAAACTGAGGAGGATAAATACTGATACTGTATGTACATCTACACATACATATGTAAATGCATATGTATGGGGTGTTGTATATATATATAGATATATGATCATATATGGGCATAGTTCACTCAAGAATCCTTTACCGTGTTTTCATGAACGGAGCTCAAACCTTTAGGTTGGGGGGTGGGTGGGGTGGGTGGGGTGGGTGGGGTTGGGGTTATGGTTAGGTGTGGGGGTGTAGATGTTTAGGGTCGGGGGAGGGGGAGGGAGAGAGAGAGAGAGAGAGAGAGAGATAGAGATAGATAGATAGATAGATAGATAGATAGAGATATAGAGATATAGAGATATAGAGATATAGAGATATAGAGATATAGATAGATAGATAGATAGATAGATATATATATATATTATACATATATGTACATGTATATATATATGGATATCCAATGATATACCTATGATATTCCCAGCGCGCCCCAACTCGCCCAAAACCCCGCGGCGCCAGCGAAGAGGCGAGGATCAAACGCGCCGAGAACTGATCTAAATACCTCGGCTTCCACTGGAAATGACCTGGAAAAAGAGGAGAAAACCATAGAAAACCTATGGGGATATGAATACTGAAGACATGATGAAATGAATTTCTAGCGAAATTCGAGATAAATGGGAATAGATGTTTTTTTGGAGGTTTCTCTGGTGATATCATTGTTGACATGGAAAAAAAGCTTCTGGTTGGTACAAAATTCCAAGTCCAAGGTGAAATCCAGGACCACCGGAGAGAAACATATCAGGACAGCTGGGGTGCTACAACAATAACTGACCAGAAAAGGATGGTATCAATACCCATACGATCCATGTATGGTATATATGGTAACATTTACCATCAATATACCCCAAATGTTAGCATATATATATACCATACATGGATCCTATGGGATATGTTTAACACCCGTTTGGAAAGATTTTTGGGTGCCTCCATCACATGCCGTTACTCACGCTTCAAGGTGAAGACGAATGACATCTACAAATCAGTTTGGGAACAACGACAACACAAATTGCAACGGGCAGATGAAAGCAGTCAAGAATACAAATCAAGGCTACCCCACTCTAGGGACTCAACATTGTAATATTGGCTTCCCATTTCATTGGCATTTCTAAAGTTTATGACATCACATGGAAATTCTAATCAGATACCGATACCATCGGATCGCCGATACCGAAACTCGTGGGAAAACCTCTACCGGATAGTCGCCATGGAATCCCCTGGCGTCCACCTGGAATTCCGTGTTCGACTTCCATGTTCCAACACTTGGTGTCTGATGGAAATCTCCAGGGCTGCGCCAAGGAACTCTTCCCAAGTGGGTCCAGAAAGGTCCACCTTTTTCCTTTTGCCAGGTGTTGGAGGATCTGCCTCCGGCTCCAGTATTTGGGCAGTGAACCACTGATTTCTAAGTGGTGCAAAAATCACCATTTCACTGATTACTTGGGCTTCACCAAATGTTATGTTACATAATTTGGCTTATGGCAAAGTGTTTTAAAAAAATGTGTTATACATATATAATTAATATTATATATATATACCATTTTATGGCCACAGCCCGCTTCGCCAAGTCACCCCATTCACCCCGCCTTGTAGACAGCCCAGGCAGCCAGTGCGGCAGCTCGTAAGCCGAAGAGTAGTAAGGCCGTTGCAATGAAAAAGAGGGTGCGGATGACGCTATGAGGCCAAAACAATCCTCCAGCTGGCTGGATGTGGGAAGTTTGCCAAATTTCTGCGCTGAAATTTAGTTCCCAGATGTTCCCAGTACAGGAAGTAGAACGTGTTGGGGTCCAGATAATCTTGTGGCATCATGAAACAAGCTTGTCCAAAAAGAGATGCTCAGTTTTCGTAGGGTAAAACATTCACCGTTTGCAGCATTTCACCTCTTTTTTTGGCATGCCCGTCATTGTTGACTGTTTCCCCATTTTGATCAGATACATCCACTATTACCTGTGTTCATTGTTCATTTGGGATATTACCCACTAGCTAGACTAGCCCCCATCATATTCATCATTGTCAACCATATCTTGTAGATAGGTACCGGATTCCTTTACCTCCCTCTATAAACATAAGTGAAGCTGGTCCACGGGTTTGCGACTGTTTAACGACCACAAGGCAATTGCTGAAAAGACCGCCAGAAAGGGAATACAGGGACCCTGAATTTTACAGTTGAAATATGCTACAAGTTGATAAGCAGTTGTTTTCGGGTAGTTTTCTGGTTCTTCAAATTCCGATGATCAAATTGATGGTTGAATATCCGCCGTGGCAGCATCCAGGAGAGCAACCCCATGGTCTACCAGTCGTCCATGTCGTCCCTTGTCTTCCAAGCCACCATCACAGCAGCGGATCCGGCTTTGGGGGAAGCGCTGCTGCAATCTGCGCCGAAGCGAGTCAAACCACAAGATGCAGCAAAGTACGATAATGGATAACAAATTTGGACTAATTTTTGGCTGAACTATTTACTGTCCATTGATTTAAGTCACTACAATGTACCATATTGTAACATAATGTAACTTGATGTAATTTATGATTCACCAACATGAAATTGGGTGAGGAGTGGTCCCCCTTACTAGCCATAATTCATAAAACTACATCTGCTCCGAATAGGGGTACAGAATCTGTGTGCTAACCTGTGGTGTCTTTCAAACGCATTCGCTGGCGCATCAATCAAACCGAGCAGTTTACGTCGGATCATTCGCGATGATTCAGAGCCGTTTGGTTTGTGGCTAGCTGAGCTTTGCTTAGCTTCCCAGTAGGCAGTTGGGTGACATGTAATGACCATAGTTGGACCATAGTTGTTACCCTCTGGTAAACTAACATAACTATGGAAAATCACCATTTTCAATGGGTAAATCCACTATAAATGGCCATTTTCAATAGCTATTTTGACATAACCACAGGGTACATGTTAAAAACCCAGTTGCCTTCTTGCCATCAAACACTGGAAAATCCGTCGAGTTCGGTGAGTTCCCCAGCAACCTCCATGGTGCACTTAGGACCGTGGCCTTCGCCCGATGTCCTCCAGCGCAAGCTCCGCTGGGATGCTATCGCCCAAGGCCCAAATCAGCCTGTCGCCCGGGAAACGTCGCTATTTCTATGACTTGGGTCGCAGCACCAAACCCTGGAAAGCTAACCTCGGTTTTTCACAAGTCGCGCATGCAAATGGATGTAAACGGATATGTAAATGAGAAATAAATATAAATATGGATATGCAATGTAAATGGATATGAAAATCGATATTCACCCCAAAATATGGGAGAATTAAGTGTTAAAGAATAAAAACATCCGCCATGAACTACAGAGACGAGTTTTGGCGTAGTCTCGCTGAATGTCAAGGTGATGACATCATCGAATCGTCCACCTATTGCAGTTTGTTTAATTCCAATTTGAATAGTTCATGATACAAATTGGAATTTATGTACATCCAACAAATTTATGTACATTGATCTAAGACCTGATTTACATCAACAGAAGTTTTCCCTTTTTTTGTAAAATTTATTTTGACTTTGATTTATGGGTCCAGTCAGTCGGAGGTTGGCCTGTGACAAACCTGCTCAGGCGCCAAGGTGAATAAAACGCGTCGCTTGGGACCTGCCAATTCATCCTGCAGCGGGGCGCTTGGTTCCTCTCCGACTGGTTGCATGTGTATTATTATGTATTATGTATGTCTATAAATAGACAGAGAGAGGGGGAGAGAGAGAGAGAGAGAGAAGGACTTCATATATGTATCCACTGTCTATACATATACATTACATTACATTACCTTACCTTACCTTACATTGCATAACATTACCATGCATTACATAATATTACCATACATTACATTCCATTACATTTCATTGCATTACATTACATTACGTTACCATACATTACATTAAATTACCTTACATTACATTACAATACATTACATTACATTACACTACGTTACATTGCATGGCAATGCATGGCATTGCATCGCATAACCATACATTACATAACCATACATCCATCCGTCCATCCATCCATGCATGAATGCATACATTACATTACATCACATCACGTCACGTCACGTCACGTCACATCACATCACATCACATACATACATACATACACGCACACACAGGCAGACAGACAGACAGACAAACAGACAGACAGACAGGCAGGCAGGCAGGCAGACAGACAGACAAACAGACATACATACATACATACATACATAACCACACATACATACATAACCACACATACATACATAACCATAAATTACATTACGTTACGGTACGTTACATTACATTATATTATGCTGCATTACATTACATTACATTACATTGCATTATAGTAAATTACATTACATTACATACATACATATTGAAACATACATGTATTGCATAATCTACCTTGTGTACACACACACTGCATGTTTCATAGGTGTGTGCGTATATGCACTCCACGTATATGAACGCTGTATATCTATGATATGGACATCCATGTCGCAGGTTTCGACGTTGATAGCCCCTGGTTTGTTACGCACCCAACTTGGATATGATTAATGCTTTGTGAGTGGCTAATCTATAGGTAGACTTAAACCTATATATAATGATAAAAATATAGATTTACATTTAGATATGTGATGGTTGGTCAAAATTCCTTTTCCCGGGAACAACCATTCCTCGCGAATAAAAAACTATTTCGCGAATCTTTCGCGAACTCCATGTGCATCTTTTGCGGAACCCATGTTGAGCAACAACTCCTCTTATGAAGATTCATTCATCACCTGCCAAATCACACAAAATCATCACGGGGATAACTTCTTCATAGCCTTGTAAACATACAGCTAGCTCACGGAATCCCCTTCTCAGGACAAGTTGTTGCTGATTAGGCAGTTTTTTGCAAGGCTTACCGGGCCACTCCCTTCAAAATGCACTTTGACTTTCGCCCACTCTTTCAGAGAACTTTCGCTGAACTTTCGCGAAAAAAACCCTATCCGCAGACCCCAGCCACCAGCAGGGGGCGCATCAAAGGAAAAGCAAACACCTGGGGCCTTGATGTTTGGCTCTCGCAAAGCCTCACTTTTGGAAGCTTGGCTGCTGCATTTGGAGCTTGTACGGTATATCTGCAGGCTCTATACAGTGGGTCGGCCATGGGAGTGATGCAGCATGCCATGGGAATGCCTGCTCATGTGCACTTATGCTGTCCTTCGTTTCCTCTTCAGAGGGCGGGTGGCTGGCTCAAGCGGTTCAGGCTTCTTTGCAGCAGCCATGTCATCCCTCACCAGCACCAGTGGATCACCTGCAGAGACCGCCTGCGTGTTCCTTGACACATACATTTTGTTGCCCTTCTTCACCAGTTCCATGTTGGCCTCGTCATCATCTGCACTATCTGTGGTCTTCATCATCCAGAACGGAACTGGGACATTGGGCGGCAGCAGAAAGACACCATGATCTTTCCTTGGCAATCACAGATGCATTGATTTATTGATTTAATTGTAGGTGAATTCTTGAGACTTCAGAAAGCAACGTTAGGCAGTACCAGCGGCAGGTGCAAGGAGGTGCTTCAAGACCATGGTATTTGGCTCACCTTCGGAAGCTTGGCTGCTACCTATGGTGCGGTACCATTCTGACAAGGACCCCGGGCGGCAGGAGGTGGTAGCCCTTAACAAGCTGTAATGTATACAGTGATAACGATTCATTAATATCCAACTTTCGCGAAACTTTCGCGAATATTTGTTTTTCTTTCGCGAACTCAAAAAAATCTTTCGCGAGGGTTTCCAACATAACACGCACGGCTTTCGCAATTAAAACTCCTTGCAAGGACTTTAGATCGACTGCCATGTATGCTCCTGCCCAAGACCCACCTGTATTTACTGGGCTCCCATGAACATATCACTGAGTGATTCACCACAGCCCTGTCCTGCACCACCAACTCCTTCTGAAGTTTGCTGTGTAGCGCCTCTTTGGACAGCTGCAACTCCGGCCAGTGCTGCAAGATCAGTTGTCGATGCGACATCAAACCCTCCACCAAGACCTCGCGGCGACTGAAGCAATGACGGTTTCGCAATAAAAAACATGCTGGTTTTCGTAGCGAAGATCTTGGTTTTAACATGTTTTAACCATTCAAAATTGGGTTGTACATGGTTGTACCATGTTACACCAGCAAAAATGGTGGTCAAATCAAGCAATAGCAGGGCTACTGGGCTATATACTGTGTTATCTAGCCCATTCAATGATGCTTATCATTTATAAATCTTCCTTGATGCTCCGGAGTATTCTGTATCATTTAAATCTTTCCTTCGGAACGTCAGCCGAAGCAAGACCGCTTCAACGCCGCTTAAACGACCGTTTTCTGTGCCGTTTAGGACTCCAAACGCTCAACAGCCCTTGCCAGTATTCCCTTGTAAATGGTTTCTGGATAAATTTTGGATCATATTGTGGACCTGTTAGCACGTGTTAACCAGCCCTTCTTGACATCTCATTTACTTTCCCGGTGAGCCGTATCACCCCACAGACCAACTAATGATCTGCCTGAGGATGAGTTAAACCCCCGCGTTCTGCTGGTTGAACCCCCATGTGCGATACTCAGCCTCTCCCTTTTTGCTGCTGAAGTCTTGCAGGTTCTCGAATTTTGCTGGTTAAGACAGCGGTTTTTGCTGTTGAAATGCATCTTTTGGATTCTTTTGGCTCGTTTTAAACCATCATTCTTGTAACTTACCCTCTGGAAATCTGAAAATGGCCGTGAGAGTAGATCACTTCCCTACGGCAAATTTGAATTATTTTTAGATATTTTTAGGGGTGTTCCATTGCAAACTGTGAGATTACCAGGTAAATCCCCGCTGCCCACCTCCTTCCAGGCTCGCACCACTTCGTGTGCCGAAGGTTGCGCTAGCCAGGCATCCGAGGAGGCGCAAAAACGATGGCGGAGCAAAGGGGTAACCTCCACAAAATACCTCAGAAACACGGCCAAATGATGCCAAATGGGGCTAGCTGGGAACTCACAGTGCTGTGGCCACCTTTAGATCCTTCCAAAAAGTGAGAGGATTTCTTCATTATTTCTTCCATCTTCTCCACTCTAAAAAAATACGAAAAAAACATGCTTCCTCACAGAAAATCCTAGCTGTGCCAGCGATCCAAAACCCCGGTACCCTGTCAGTTCGCATGAAAATAGCTGGTAAATGGAGATCCATTCCCACCCTTTCATGGGATAGTAGCTGTTGATCAAACGTCCATCTCCCTGGAAAACCTGTCCCCCGGCCCTTCAACACCTTCAATATCATGGTCAAAAAGTGGTGACATCGCGTATTCCATGGCGAGGCCGCACCAAGGGACTGCACGAACAGATGCTCAAAATCCAGGATCGAGGCTCTGGTGCTGCTTTCCTTGAGCTTCTCCTCTCCAGGCAGTGACCAGCTGGCTGCAGGAAATCATCCAAAATCATCCACAAAATCCATGGGAAACAGCAAGAAATCCTGATTTTTTTTGATGGGAAAAGTATATGGAAATCCCCATGGAAACCAGCATCAAATCAGGGAAAATGTCCGGGCAAAGGTGTGATCTCCTCAGCGATGATTTGGCTGCCGAGACTTTGCAGATCTTTGCTGCTTTGACTTGGCATTGCCATCTTTTGCACATTCCTGGCTGCTCAAGGCCTCCGACCTTCCCATGTTCGAGCAAGAAAAACACCAATGATGTTTGTTTCAGTCATTTTCAGTCTCATTTTATTGTGAACTTGTCTTGAAAACTTGCAGTATAGCTTTTTAGTTGGTAAAATTGTGCAAAATGGATTCAAATCCTCATGATTAGAAACTTTTATGGTTGGATAAATATGGTGAAGTCAGCGAAATCCCCATTTCATCGTGATTTTCACATCTCTTTTTTGGGGTAACCCAGTTCCCAGCTCGCAGCAGCGACTGCCATGCGTCATCAGTGAGTGGCTGTTCCTTCGAAAGATCAGCGGTAAACCCAACTCTTGGATCGTCGGTGCCGAGGAGGAAGGTGAACTGAGACAACTTCCTGGAAAAAAACAGACGAGTGATATCGGGAATTCACAAATCTTATGGGAATATCATTGGGAATATCATCAGGACATAAAGAAAGTGAGGATGACAGCAGATTCCCATGTGTAGATGTTCTTTCCCATGAACACCTATATATATACCAGCTAAGCCCAAAAATCCGGAAATCCAACGTTTTTTCAAAAAATGTTCGTTTTTGTTACTGGTGTTGGAATTCCTCCGCCTGTTGAATTTGGTGTGAGAATTTGTTCCGACATGCATTTTTGGGGTTCCTGTAGTTCCCCACATTGACGTGTGGGGGTTTTGTTTTTAGTTCTGTATCCGCTCCTCCTCGTCCTCCTCGTCCTCCTTCCCGTCCTCCCTCCCTCCCTCACTCACTCACTCACTCACACTCACTCACTCACTCACTCACTCACACTCACTCACTCACTCACTCACTCACTCACTTGGGCTCCGCTGCTTTTGCGTGGCAGGCGTGGGACAATGTGCACTGCCAAGGGGTCGGATGTACGCCCTGGCGTCCCTCGGGCTCCGCCTCTTTTGCGTGGCAGGCGTGGGACAATGTGCACTGCCAAGGGGTCGGATGTACGCCCTGGCGTCCCTCGGGCTCCGCCTCTTTTGCGTGGCAGGCGTGGGACAATGTGCACTGCCAAGGGGTCGGATGTACGCCCTGGCGTCCCTCGGGCTCCGCCTCTTTTGCGTGGCAGGCGTGGGACAATGTGCACTGCCAAGGGGTCGGATGTACGCCCTGGCGTCCCTCGGGCTCCGCCTCTTTTGCGTGGCAGGCGTGGGACAATGTGCACTGCCAAGGGGTTGGATGTACGCCCTGGCGTCCCTCGGGCTCCGCCTCTTTTGCGTGGCAGGCGTGGGACAATGTGCACTGCCAAGGGGTCGGATGTACGCCCTGGCGTCCCTTGGGCTCCGCTTTTGCGTGGCAGGCGTGGGACAATGTGCACTGCCAAGGGGTCGGATGTACGCCCTGGCGTCCCTTGGGCTCCGCCTCTTTTGCGTGGCAGGCGTGGGACAATGTGCACTGCCAAGGGGTCGGATGTACGCCCTGGCGTCCCTCGGGCTCCGCCTCTTTTGCGTGGCAGGCGTGGGACAATGTGCGCTGCCAAGGGGTCGGATGTACGCCCTGGCGTCCCTCGGGCTCCGCCTCTTTTGCGTGGCAGGCGTGGGACAATGTGCACTGCCAAGGGGTCGGATGTACGCCCTCGGGCTCCGCCTCTTTTGCGTGGCAGGCGTGGGACAATGTGCACTGCCAAGGGGTCGGATGTACGCCCTGGCGTCCCTCGGGCTCCGCCTCTTTTGCGCGGCAGGCGTGGGACAATGTGCACTGCCAAGGGGTCGGATGTACGCCCTGGCGTCCCTCGGGCTCCGCCTCTTTTGCGTGGCAGGCGTGGGACAATGTGCATTGCTGGTGGCTTTTGTGTGGCAGGTGTGGCACGCACTCACATCACTCACTCAATCACTCACTCATTCACTCACTCACCCACTCACTCACTCACTCACTGACACATTCACACTCACTCACTCACTCACTCACTCACTCACTCACACACACTCACTCACTCACTCACTCACCCACTCACCCACTCACCCACTCACCCACTCACCCACTCACCCACTCACCCACTCACCTTCACTCACCCACCTCACTCACACCATCACTCACCCACTCACTCACTCACTCACTCACTCACTCACTTACTCATTCACTCACCTGTGCATGCGCATACATACACACATACACAAAAACTCACCCACCATCACCCCTCCATCACTCTTATACTTCCTCTTCCCTTCTTGCTTTTCTATGCTCAGTCTAAGTCCAGAGAAGTTGGTAACATGTGGGGTTATCCGGTCCTATAATGTTCTGAAGGTGGCAATGGCTCAGCTTGAGATGCCTGCAGGGTATTCTGACATTTGTTTCTGGTATGTTCGCTTAGGAACTTGCCTTCCATTGCTTCTTGCAACCAGCCATTTCTATTTGGCACAGTTCTGGTGTTCTTGTGGGGATGGTTTTTTTCCGAACTTGTTTTTTTGCAATGAGGGGACACACCTGCCGCTTTGGCCAGGCAGTTTCTAAACGGGGCAGGTGCAGTTGCTGGTGCAGGCATCATTCAATTCAAAATGTGTTTTTTTCAAAATGTGAGGACGCAGGATGTCTCCAAGACAATTTTGCCGCTGCTTGGGTGAAATTGCGCATGGCAATTGGAGCCACTAGACCCAGAGAAATTCAAAAATAAAGCCGGAGAAATTCCACACCCGGACTAGGTGCAAGAATACCCGGAGAACGAGCGAGAATTCCCGGAGATGGTGTGAGAAAAAAACACGAGAAAACCCGGAGAAAATGCATGTATAGTATGTATTCAACCAACATGTATCAACATTAAAAACATGGTGCTTCAGATTGCTTCATCAAAAAACATTTTTCCAAACCATAGTTTTTAGGAATTTTGACCATCGAACGGAACGCAAATACATTTCCCAAATGCCAAACACATGGAGACCCTTGGGAAGTGCAAGTGTCAGTGATAACGTGACAAACACATGAATAATTAGTTGTTTTGGGATATTACGATGACAACTGCCTCCATCGCAACTAGTTTGGTAGCATGTTTTATCCAATTGATATGGTTGATGAGTAGGCCCATGAGGACCATGCTAAGAATGACAAAATATAAAAAAAGGATGAATCGCCTCAAACACAGAAAAGAAAACAACAAGTGTGAAAATTTCCTGTTGGTGTGAGAATTTTGCGGTGAACCCGGAGAAGTGTGAGAATTCAAAAAAATGTTCGCTTTTCAAATTGGTGTTGAAATTCCTACGCCTCGGGCTTCGCTGGTATATAATATGGGATGTGTCAGCTGGCAACGTTCGATGAGAAAATTGGATACTGATGATTTTTTTCTACCCATCATATTCCCAGAAAAAATCCTCATGATATTCTCATGAGATACTCCCATGATATCCCAATAAAAACACCCCAAATATCCGTGATGATATTCCCCCTGAGATTCCCAGGGGTGAATCCCCCATTGATCCCAGACGAGGATCAGATTCATAGGGATTCACCAATGGGAAGATCAGATTCCGATATCATGGGAGTAAACTCATGAGATGATCATGGTGAAAAATTCAATGGGGAATGTTCTGGGAATCTCATGGGGATATCATGGGAATTATCGAAATATCATGGGGATATGGATCCAAAACGGGTCAATTTGTCCCATGATGATAAACCATTGAATTTTCGGCTTCCCTTAAATTGTCAGACAAATCCATCTTAGTTTTCCAGAGCTAGAGAAAGAAACAGGGATTTGATGGAAATTCTAGTTTTCCAGATCTTAGTTGTCCAAATCTTAGTTTTCCAGAGCAAGATTTGCAAATTCCCCTGGAAACTCATCGCAAGTGCGACGACTGGCGCTCCTTCTCGCTTCTCCTCGATGAGGCCCTGAGGCAGCTTGTCCTTGGTCGCAGTCAGGACCCATGGTGTTGCATCCCATGGCCCTGTTGGTTTAAACACCATAGCATAAGAATGCTAACAGTGTACAAGAATGCATATTAAATAGCTGGATGATGCTGGATGACGTTGGATCTTCAGGCGCCTCATTGGTCGACCCGAAAAATCCTGACCCAACTTGGTGCAACTCGGTAGCTCCAAGACCCCGATTGGAGATGGCAGACCATGCCGACATGGCATCCAAATCCAAACTCCGTCGTCGGAACAGCCTCTTTGGTTTGTCCATGTGGTTGAGCCGCGAACCCGTTGTGGCACGCCTGGCCGATCATCTCTGCAACGTTGCTAGAAAAGCCAAACCAATGTAGATACAGATATATATATATGTATATATGAATGATCGAGAGATAGATAGATATAGATAGAGATAGATAGAGATAAACAGAAAGATAGAGATATACAGAGATAGATAGAGATAGATAGAGATAGATAGCGATAGATAGATAGAAAGATCGATAGGTAGATATAGATAGATAGATAGATAGATAGATAGATAGATAGGTAGATAGATAGATAGATACATAGATAGATAGATAGATAGAAAGATAGATAGAATAGATTAGATTAGATTAGATTAGACTAGACTAGACTAGACTAGATTAGATAGATAGATAGATATAGATAGATAGATATAGATAGATAGATAGATAAGATAGATAGATAGATAGATAGATAGATAGATAGATAGATAGATAGATAGATAGATAGATAGATAGATAGATAGAAAGATCGATAGGTAGATATAGATAGATATAGATAGATACGTAGATAGATAGATAGATAGATCGGTAGATAGATAGGTAGAGATAGATAGATATAGATAGATAGAGATAGATAGATAGATAAATGGATACAGATAGGTGAAGATAGATAGGTAGGTAGATAGATAGATAGAGAGATATAGAGAGATACAGAGAGATAGAGAGAGAGAGATAGATAGATAGATAGATAGAGATAGATAGAGATAGATAGAGATAGATAGAGATAGATAGAGATAGATAGAGATAGATAGAGATAGATAGAGATAGATGGAGATAGATGGAGATAGATGGAGATAAAAAGAGATAAATACAGATAAATAGAGATCGATCGAGATAGATAGAGATAGATATAGATGGAGATAAAAAGAGATAAATAGAGATACATAGAGATAGAGATAGATAGAGATAGAGATAGAGATAGGTAGAGATAGATAGAGATAGATAGATAGAATTAGATAAAGATAAATAGAGATAGATAGAGATAGACAGAGATAGAGATAGGTAGAGATAGATAGAGATAGATAGAGATAGATAGAGATAGATAGACATAGATAGAGATAGATAGAGATAGATAGATAGAGATAGATAGAGATAGATAGAGATAGATAGACATAGATAGAGATAGATAGAGATAGATAGAGATAGATAGAGATAGATAGAGATAGATAGAGATAGATAGAGATAGATAGAGATAGATAGAGATAGATAGAGATAGATAGAGATAGACAGAGATAGATAGAGATAGATAGAGATAGATAGATAGAGATAGATAGAGATAGATAGAGATAGATAGAGATAGATAGAGATAGATAGAGATAGATAGATAGATAAATAGAGATAGATAGAGATAGATAGAGATAGAGATAGATAGAGATAGATAGAGATAGATAGAGATAGATAGAGATAGATAGAGATAGATAGAGATAGATAGAGATAGATAGAGATAGATAGAGATAGATAGAGATAGATAGAGATAGATAGAGATAGAGAGAGATAGAGATAGATAGAGATAGATAGAGATAGATAGAGATAGATAGAGATAGATAGAGATAGATAGAGATAGATAGAGATAGATAGAGATAGATAGAGATCGATAGGGATCGATCGAGATAGATAGAGATAGATAGAGATAGATAGAGATGGAGATAAAAAGAGATAAATAGAGATAAATAGAGATACATAGAGATAGAGATAGATAGAGATAGAGATAGAGATAGAGATAGATAGAGATAGATAGATAGAATTAGATAAAGATAAATAGAGATAGATAGAGATAGACAGAGATAGGGATAGGTAGAGATAGATAGAGATAGATAGAGATAGATAGACATAGATAGAGATAGATAGAGATAGATAGATAGAGATAGATAGAGATAGATAGAGATAGATAGAGATAGATAGAGATAGATAGAGATAGATAGAGATAGATAGAGATAGATAGAGATAGATAGAGATAGATAGAGATAGATAGAGATAGATAGAGATAGAAAGAGATAGAGATAGATAGGTAGATAGATAGCGACAGATAGATAGAGATCGATAGAGATAGAGATAGATAGGATAGAGATAGATAGGTAGATAGGACAGATAGAGAGATGGAGATAGAGATAGAGATTAGATAGAGATAGATAGAGATAGATATAGAGATAGAGATAGAGATAGAGATAGGAGATAGAAGATGAGATAGATAGAGATAGATAGAGATAGATAGAGATAGATAGATAGATAGATAGATAGATAGATAGAGATAGATAGATATAGGTAGAGATAGATAGATAGATAGATAGATAGATAGATAGATAGATAGATAGATAGAGATAGAGATAGAGATAGAAGGAGATTTTAGAAGGAGATAGAAGGGAGATAGAAGGAGATAGATAGAAGATAGATAGAGATAGATAGAGATAGATTAGAGTAGATAGAGATAGCTTAGAGATAGATAGAGATAGAAGATTATAGATAAATATAGATAGATATAGATAGATTTTGATAGATATTATATAGATAGATATAGATAGATATAGATAGGTAAAGATAGATAGATAGATAGATATAGATAGATATAGATAGATATCGATAGATACAGACAGATATAGATAGATATAGATAGATATAGATAGATATAGATAGATATAGATAGATATAGATAGATATAGATAGATATAGATAGATATAGATAGATATAGATAGATATAGATAGATATAGATAGATATAGATGAATAGATATAGATAAATATACATAGATAGATATAGATGTAGATATATATAGATAGATATAGATAGATACACATAGATACACATAGATAGAAATAGATAGAAATAGATAGAAATAGATAAGTAGATAGAAATAGATATATCTATATATGTAGATACATAGATAAATAGATATAGATATAGATAGATATACATAGATAGAAATAGATAGATAGATATAGACAGGATAGTATAGGATAGGATAGATTAGATTGGATTAGATTGGGTTAGATTTCATTTAGATTAGATTAGATAGATGGATAGATGGATAGATGGGTAGATGGAAAGATGGAAAGATGGATAGAACAGATTGGATTAGATTGGATTAGATTGGATTAGGTTAGATGGGATTAGATTAGATGGGATTAGATTGGATTAGAAGGGATTAGATTGGATTAGATTGGATTAGATTGGATTAGATAGGATTAGATTGGATTAGATTGGATTAGATTGGACAGATAGATAGAGATAGAGATAGAGATAGAGATAGAGATAGAGATAGAGGTAGAGGTAGAGGTAGAGGTAGAGGTAGAGGTAGAGGTAGAGGTAGAGGTAGAGGTAGAGGTAGAGATAGAGATAGAGATAGAGGTAGAGAGAGATAAATATATATATATACACTGAGGGGTAGAAAAAGAGATAGAGAGACAAAGAGGTAGAGAGATAGAGAGATGGAGAGATATAGAGAGATGGGGAAATAGAGATATATTGCATACACATACAAATCAAGCTATATCCCATTGTATTCAGGATTTCTTCTTAACGATTTCGGCTACGGATACAGATATGCAGAAATATGAGATATTGTACTCTGATAAAACGGTTCCTTTCACTCCCCCTTGCATGGAGTATGTAAGGAGGGTGGACATATATATATATACATATATAGTTTAATTGTGCCGGGGCTTGTTTAGGATGTATTTAAGATTATTTTAGAGGTCTGCTGGGTTTGTTTACGGCTGATTTAGGGCGTTTAGTCCATTTCCGTGCTATTTGGGTTGTTTTAGGGCTTATTCAAGGTTGTTTTAGGGGTCGATTTAAGGTTTATTCATGGTTGATTTATTCGGGTTTAGGGTTCGGTTAGTTAATTATTGTGGTGTTCTTTCCAAGTCCTGCGGTTTGTTGAGGTTTAGTCAACGGCTAGCAAGACTGCAAATTGCGGAGGATCTATTTAAGACATGCTTCAAAAGGCGATTTTGGCACGTCTTAGGTAAGCGCAAAAATCCAATGAGACGCAGGTAATATCAATAGTGTGTATGCTCGCAGTTTGCGAAGAACACCGAAACAACACAGCAGATTTTGCAGTCCCGCATGGAATTCTTTGGATTTCAGGCAAACGTCAGCCACCTGGGAGCGTCCCAAGATGGGGGTTCCCCCAAATCATCCAAGTCGTCAGAGCATTTGAGTAACTATGTACTCTTGGTGACTTGGGAATCCCCCATTGAAAGAAACCCCCAAATGGATCCTCAAATGGGGATTTGCCATTATTTGATATTATTTGACCCAAGAAACTGGGGATTCAATGAGGGAAAATGTGACTTCGGAAACCATGGATTTTTACTGACCACCGATCCCAATTTGTTCAGCACGCGCCTCCTCAAGCCCAATGAGGTCGTGGCATTTCGACTCGTCTGTGGTGTTACCAGGTCATCATCCTCGTCCACCAGCTCACAGAGTCCGAATTTGGATCCCACCCTGCAGATGAAACCGATCCCCTGAGTCAATCAGTTCGGAACACCAAATCCTCATGAAAAAATGAAGACCCAAATGAACACCCTGCCAAAACTTGGAACAAAACCATGAAAGATGTCTTGTGCCGATCCAATGCCACCTAAACTGTTGACCCAATTTTGATGCCCAAATGACAATAAAACATCATAAAACGATAGAATGTTTGTTTGACTCTGAAGCCAACTTAACCGAAGTCCATCATTTTGTCATCCAAACTGTCGTCCAAGTTTGCAAACGATTCTGGGGACAGGCCGCTGGGACGATGCCACAATGTAATCTAGCAAAAGTACCGGTAATGCTTGATGCAAAAAATCATCACCATAGACATCTACCCATGCATCCTATCGGAATCTCATGGAATCTCGGTATGAAAATTCAAGACCCAAATGAGCCTTGAGCCCGCTGATGTTGGTCTCAGCACCAATCATCCTAGAATCTTAACCCATACCCCCAGACCACCCAACCATCCTAGAATTGCATGGAGATGTTACAGAGTTCGCCCCTGAAAAAAAAATCCAGGATTTGCTCTTGAAAGACGTGGTTTACTTAGAGTCTTGTAGAATTTCCCTCAACCAGCCCCAACCAACAAAACCTCCCAGAATCACAGCTTTGTCTGACGAACAATTTACAGGAAGAACCATGAAATACCATGAAATACCATAAAATACCATGAAATACCATGAAATACCATGAAATCCCCATCTGCCATGGTGTTCATGTATAAAGAAGGAGGTTTCCTGTAGATGTTCTTCGCCAAGCCTCCAAGCCCGTCCCCAGATTCGGCACCTGTTAATGGCCGTATTCACTGCCTGCACGAAGTGTGTCGAGGAATGTCGCTCCAAGAGGGGTAGGCGTTGACACACCACTTGCAAACCGCTATCTTCACTAAGATCACCAAGCTCCTGCGGCCCAGCTGGGATGGCGCATGATGGCACGCTCTCGTGAACCCAAAAAAAAATTGCCAAAATGGTTGAAAAAAGTTTGAACAGAAAGATAAACATATTAAACAGAAAGATATCCAAAGATTGTGTCAATTATGACTTCCCCTAAGATATCCGATGATTACGGTGTACGCAAGCCATGGCAGGGGAGATCTTTGGCCCCTATAATCCCTCTGTGTCAGCCTCGTCAGAGTCGAAAGCATCGTCAATGGGCGTGAGCTTCGAGAAGCTCGGCTTGGACATGAAGCTACAGTGCTACAGCGTTCTCACGGCACAGCTCTGGGTCAGGAATCAGGGACCAGTCATGGGTATAACGGTATAACCATGGGATCTTAACCCCCATAATGTGGGATATGGGGGTCCTTTTACTATGGTTATATAATGTTGTATTATATATATACACACATAAGTACCGTTTCGGACCGCTGGTGATCGGGATCCCAAGCCCAAGTTCTGGGAGGGTCAACAATTTTGAGCCACTTCCATCTGATCGTAAGATGTGGAGAAGTTTCTGCATCAAATACAGCACTGCCGTGAAAACTGAGATTTTCAGGTCCCCATGGGAAGCTAGTCCCTGTTTACAATGCTCCCTGCTGGTACTGGCGAATCCATTTAAGAAGAACGAGGTGCGAAACTGTTGAGGGTGTGCGAGCTTCAGGGCACTTGTCATCACTTGTCGACAAATGTCTGAGGCTTGAGTTGCTCCTCAGTCCTACTGAGTCCTAGTGTTTAAAACATGCCACAATAGGTGGCTTGAGCAAAAGGCCACGGATTGCTCCGATGGATTTGGAGATCAACCATTTGGCTATGAGTCCAAACCCTAGGACCCTGGGTCCCCTAAAATAACTGCTTAATAGATTGTTAATAGATGTTGATTCCCAAAAATATGGAAATTTCATAGGTTTTGACCCATCTTTCTGGGAACTCACTGGGATGCCAGCTGTGAACCCACCACCAACGGCAGCATGTGTTCCACCTCACGCGAGTTGCACGCCGTGTTCACCACCGAAACCAAGCGGTTGTTGAAATGTCTGATGTTTGCGTGCACTGTATCATCTTATATAACCATCATGTCAAATCATGTCTCTGAAAATCTGGTGCACCCCAAAGCATCCCAAATCCATTGCTTCCTCGTCACACCATGAAAATCGACCATAGTTCTACGGATACCTCCGTAATCAAACATTGCGATGGGTAGTCCATTCTTTATAAGTCATGTTTCCATTCAGAACTCCATGTGTATTGGATGTTCAATTGCCATGACTGATTACCAACGGATAACCCCAACAACACACCAGGCTTTTTTGAGCGTCACCTGTGCCGCAGTGCCCCCCTTCGTTCCAAGTGTCGGCTGTTTGGCGAGCCCCCAAACTGCTCTCCATCCCAGGGGAACTGTTCACCTGCCAGATGGGGAGATCCCCTGGGGGATCACCTTGAATGCCAGGTGGGATGGCATCTAAAAACTGGCAAAAAATATTCCCCGTGGTGGAAAAAATCCATAAAATGTGGGATGAAGTGGGATGCTTCATGTTGGGTTTATATGGAATTATCATGGTTTATCACCTTATCCCCATGGCAAAATATGAGAATACTACTCAACTACCGATCCAAGGTTGACGTAGCAAGGTCATGATTTTGAGCTTATTCAGACAGGCCCATTTATAGGAGGATCTGAAACCATACATATCTTATCTTTGAAAGGGTTTATCATGCGAAACCATTTCTGCCGGTATCAGTCAGACCCTTGCTGGGCTGGAGCTAGATGGGCCCGTTTCTTCATGAACTTCAGCACGATCATGTGCTTGGGAAACTCTGATGAAGTAGCTCCAACTAGCTCCCCATTGGTCATTGGCCGGATTTCTACACAAAACGCTTAATAATTCACCTCTCCCTCGGTGGGAATCATTCATATGGCATACGGTAAACCCAATAATAAACAATCCTCAACATCACCACAAATGGGTTGTATAAACCATCCCCAGATGGGCTTGGATATTTAATTTAACTATTTCAAATTCCAAGTTTTTTGTGCCCCCAATGCCCGATTCATGAAGAATTCCAAACATTCCAACAGGCGCCTTGATGCTTTGCAGGGAAGATTAGGAAGAAAATGCCGATGGCGAACATCTTTCAGCATGCTCATCCATAGAAATCTCAAAATGCTGATGGTTTGGAACCCACCACATAGACCCAAATTACATCAAATTACATGGATCTGGGTAAATTACAATGATTCACCGACCTGAAATAAGGCTTCTTGGGATAATTACCCTTACTAACCATGACCCTTACTAACCATGATTTTTGACGTTAGGCCACGGCGTGCGGTCGCTGAGCCAGATTGATCGTGGTGTGGCCTCGATCAGCCAAAGGTTCAGGTCGGAAGTCAACATCATGTCAACGCCTGACCGGCCAGGGTCATCTGCAATGGGAAAATGCTAGGCTCCAACCACTGCCACCACTGCCTAGTGAATATACTGAGATAAAACTACTGAGATATACTGAGTATTCTGAGTACTTCGACGAAGCATCAACCTCCTATTAAGTCCTAGTTTAATTATTCTGGGTGGTGGTGTCCCATGGTGTCCCTACATATTTGGGTATAACTTTCATGGATAACCCCCCCCCCTGTGAGTCGAAACCCTGCCACCCCGTGGCCTAACAACTCGTAGCCTGTGGTCTTCAAATGATCTGCTTGCGATTCGAGCACCTTGGTCCAGCCGGAGGAACCGGACAGCTGTACAGCATTGCAAGGTTTGGGATGCTGGCAAGGTCCCATCTATTTCCTGCATCAACATCACGGTTTGGAGGTGTTGAGTACTATTAAACAGCAACGCTTAAATCACAGTTTAACCCCCGAAAAGTAGGGAAATCTCCGGGGATCCCAAAGTCTTTCCAGGAGACACCCCAAAGCATCACTTAGCCTTGGCTGGTATCACTTCTGGTCTTAGGAGGTTCAAATCATGGTATGGGTGTAGGGGTATGGATCAAAACTTGAGGCTCGCAGCTCGCAGAACCAGAATTTCTGCGTTTTGAATGCAGTCTGAGACCTGCTTCTTGGCACACAACTTTTGATCCGTACCCATATCTAGTCGCGAATGAGCCAAGGGAATGAGCAAACTGATGTTTTACTATCTTTTTCACACATAATTTTACGTGAAAAGGATCATAAATGCCTGTCTGATTCGATATCAACATATTAGCCAACCAACCTTAAACACCAGAGCTCCAAAGGTCTCACCCACCTCCATAAGTAAGGTCAGCTTTTGCTTGATCTTTGCAGCTAGCTTCACCTCCCAACTGCGTAAGATGTACCCTCTGGCAATCTAACAGCTTGCGAACCGGAAAACCCAGCATTTTCATGTCATGAAGCAAATCATTGACTAAATGGGCCATGGCTTCCATAGATATCCATAGATATGTTAGATTGCCACGGGGATCCACATGGTTTTTTTTGCATCAAAATGTGAAACATCTTGAGACTAGTTGAGCTACTTCAGACCTTTTTGTGTTCCGGCATCTCTCCAGTAGCTACTTACGATTCGTGAGGGCCCTATGTTTCAATGGTGAAACTCCTGGTGGCCACGGTTCCATGGTGAATATCGCGAATCTCCAAATCACCGAATCCCTTTGTCCGAAAATCGAATCCTAAAATATCCTAAAATCTTCACCACTTTCCGCATCATTTCATGGCTCCAAAAATTCATCACCTCCGCCCTACCGGCCACTGAGGCCTCAACAAAGTCGGAGTCGAATCCCGTTTCAGAGAGTATGGCTTGGACTTGCTTTGGTCCCAGAACCAACTCACTGTAATTCCTGGTTTCACGCCGGCCACTGATGAACCAAAGCCCTCCCCGTTTTTTTTTGGTGACCCAGAATATCCAGATGAGAATAGTGGTTGAACCCCAATGTCGATCCAATGGAACTGCTGTAGTCCTTCGAGTTGAATATCACCCCAGGTCGTTGTGTTCTTTTTAACCAATAACTGGGTTGGTCCAAAAACGAGGAATACCGCAATACCCCCAGAAGAGAATTGATGACAGAAATGATGATCAATGAGTCAATGATGATCCATGAGATAGATTTTCATAGATTTTCGGGTGCCCTAGTTTCAGACAATCCCAAGGGTTACCTTGGGAGTGGCCTCCCAGCCGGTCAAACATCACCAAGGCGCGCCCCTTTCCGCAGCTTTCCGTTCACCTTTCCGGGAAGAAAATCCATGTTTTCCAAGGCCATCGACTTTTCCAAGGCCGTGAATCAACCGTGGATTCATTTCCCAAGGGTTTATGAAAATGAGGTGCACCCCCAAAAGTAGATCAAAATAGGGTAGATGGATATAAATAAGTGCGAATTTGCTTGAAACAAGCCACCGGGTGGTTAAACCTTAACATTTCTCCGGGTTTGACATCACTTGCCCCGTGCATGTCATGTCCCCGCCTTGGTATTGGTGACCACGTTCTGAGGATCTGTGGAAGACAAGTTAAATTTCTCGTGTCCGCAGCGCATGTACCATACCTTGGATGGAAATCCTGCGCCAAACACAGTGGTTTCTGAGAAACCCGGATGCCACCGTGTTTGGCACCCAGAAAATATGTGCATATTACATCTTATCTATATGAGTGTGTATATATATAATTTATAGTACAATATATTACATTATATTACATTATATTATATTGTATTGTATTATACTATATTATATTATATTATATTATATTATATTATCATACATTATACAAATATACATTATATATAATTTACATCTATATATATAATTATATACACATACATATATATATATACATGTATATATATATATATATCATAATGTATAGATGAGTCCATTTGTGTATTTAGTATTTAGATCTCTTCCAGATGGCAAACTTTGTCTTCCACCATTCCCATTCCCAGCGGCCGGAGATGAGAAGGCAACCAGCGGGACGGAGCTTGGGATGTAGAGAAAGATCCGGAAGTCGCATTTCCGGCCGTGGATCTGGGTCAAAACAATGGGGGGGGATGGTTTTCCTCACCATCTCAGCGGATCTCAGGTTGTGTAAAGGCTGTCTGAAGTTCGTTGTTACGGTATATCGTCTCATAGTCGGATAGAACATTGATATAATATATATATATATATGTATATATATGATATATATGTATATATATATATGATATATATATATATATATGATATATGATATTGATATGTATACATGAGGGATTATTGGGGATATTAACCAACAAGATGACATGGGATTGATATCTCTGAAAATCAGGTGACCCAGAAATCTGAGTCTTCGACCAGCAACGGATTGGGCAAGTAGCGTTGGACCAAACCGCGGCTGGACTGCAAGCATGGCCCAAGGGACAACAAGCAGTTTGATTTTTTCTAAATATGGCTACCAATGGCTACCATATGGAAGAGTTGATAGGGTAATATTGGGCAAGAGTTGAACTACTAACTCACCCCATATAGATGAACTATTTTTTGCTATGGATCAATACCTATGAACATAGCATTTTTAGGGGGTTATTCACATCCATAAATCCCAGCTATCCATGGCCTCGTTCCCACAGCTTTGGGCAAAGCCTTGGGCCTCCTGACCAGGCATGTGTCTGTGTTGCATAATAAACTATGTATCAACATAATATAATATAGTATAATATGGTATGATATGATATAATATGATATGATATAGTATGATATAATATAATTTAACATAATGTAACATAATATAATATAAATGTGTGTGCATCTTCTGTAAATCAAATCACAATATACAAATATATATATATATATGATTACATACAGTATATAATATGTAACGAATGGTATCGCTGTGTTAACATGCGTCCCTTGGGGAATCATCGTTCCATTTCTACAAATGTCATCACGGGTCTGTCCCAAAATGGGGCCTGAAATTCGTCCAAAACATATTGAATTGTTATGGAAAAATGTATGGAAAACGAATCTCATTCTGGACAAGAATTGTTCTAAACTATCATAACTCAATGCTTTTTGGGGGTCTAATTTCAGACAAACCCTGTCAACTGGGTGATGCTCACTCAATTACAATCAGCACCTAGAGGCCCATGCACCGATCAGTGCGATTTTCACTTCCGACTGGCAAAGTAGCAGGGGCCCATGACTGATGGATTAAGTTGACTGATGGGCTAGTTTCTACCACAAAAAGGGCAGATTAGGGCGGTAGAATCTTCCTCGAACCACCGTTGTGGTCTTACCTTCCAAGAAAAGGACCGACCCCCTCAAACACGGCATCCTGCGATGTGAGCAATCGAACGCCTTGACTGTTGTGAGTCCTGTCCTCGTTCAGCGGTTGGGATTTCCAGGCAAAAATGGCTGTGACTGATGACAGTAGGGCCAATGTGTTCGAAATCAGGGATTCTCTTGATCGAAATTAAGAAAAACCATAAGTGTAAATTTCGAAATCACAGTATGGCTAGCGTTCTTTTAAGGTAAGACCAATTGAATCACATGTCGTGTCTACCTATGTTTCAACAGCAACCGAGATGAGAGGCTCTGTAGACCCCTCCACATTATTGGACGATAACACCAGATGTCATTACATTTCATTTGCTACTCAAATGGAGCCACAATTAAACAGCCCAGAAATTCTCCAAAAATCCAGGTTATATCGAACATCCCTACTATGATACAAGCCCTGTTTCTGCTTGTTAGCTCACCATGCTTCCGGACCCCTGAATGCTGAGTTCGAGCACTCCGAAACGATGCCATGCACAGAGGCAACCATTCAAATGGCAGTTTATGATCCCATTAATAGTCGTATAACATCATCTTATAGACCAATATAATATATATATATATGTATATAATATATATATATACATATATATACATATATATATATACATATATATATACATATATATATATATACATATTTATATATATATCCATGTTATGTGTATATATATAAGAGGGTTAAACAAGAAAAACTCATTTTCATTGGATTCTCCTCTGGTGTTCGTAAAATATGAGGTGAAATCAGGCCATTTCCATCAGAAAAACTGCAGGTCCTTCTTGTGAATCCACATTCCTGACCTCACCTGCAGCGACTTTCCGGCGGGAGAAAAAAATCACTTCGTCAAGACTATGAGTACCTACAACAGTGAGGTTGTCATCCAACTCTAATGGTGATCTATGATCCAGATTAGTAGCAAAGGAGCAACTGGCTCGGAAGCCTCACCACTGGTTGAGTCACCATGGGACCAGAAAATGTGTGAAACTCTTCCCATTTCTCGGAATGGAACCTTCAAAAACCTTCAGCAGCTTCGTTCCCATTTTTTCGATGTTTTTTGCATCTTTCATCCGCGCCTGATCCTGGAATTCCAGGCAGTCACGAGGGTTCCTCAATATGTAACTGGCCGGCATCAAGCTTGAGATCTCTTTTGCGCGCCATTTCGCTCCGGCTGCGAAGCGCCTGCCAAGAGGAGATGGCCGAGTGGCATCAATGCTGCCGATGCAGCGGTTCTATGTGGGAATCCTGGCTGCTATAAACAAAAAAAACCTGCCATTTGGGAATGGTTTATACCACCCATTGATTGGGTTTACAGTACTACAAATCTGAAATGAAGCGCCAACAACTCTTCCAGTAAACTTAAAGTGACCAACCACTTCTATCCAGTCAATCCAGTCACTGCTTCGATCTACCAAAACATGATGGAAGTTCATGATAAATTCTCACTGATTCCAAACGAAATTTATGGTGACTTGAACTCGGCCAATTGCCTCGCAGCTGCAGCCAGCTGTGACTTGACCTGGGAAAACCGATCAGGGCGGCTGTATACAACTGGATGACTTTTGTTAGGCGCTTACGATTCCTGGGATTTTCACATCAAATGGCTACCGTTGTCACATTTTGATGATTTAACCATTCAAAGCTCCACTTTGTTTGGGGATTTCCCAGCGATCGCCATGTTTGATTTCCAGAGGGTAATTCCTACCATGGTCATGTTTTGGAGGTAGTTTCTGTGCGTCAGTGTTGGACACCATCTGCAAGATGGTGAAACCAGAGGCAACAAACCTTCAATCTCTTGCTGCGGATGCAGCTTTTCTGATTGGCGATACTGTACATCTTGGGTGGAAAAAGTGAGATGATGTGAGATGCTTCTGAGTAGTCTGCACAGCATCTCTGCCTATCTGCTCTCCCTACAATCACCAGTAACACGTAGTAACACCGACTTCGCACTGTTTTAGGCCCCTGGGCCCTTACTATCCTTGTAGTTACCACTACTCACTGCAGTACTCCCATGTTTTTTCAGAATAGTAGGATAACTACTGCATTCTCGGGGTATCCCAATGGGTATCCCCCTTTTTTTGCTATTCCTTGATAATAGGGGGAATACCCAATGCACCATCCATCCATCATACCTTAGCTGTAGCCACCAAGCCACCGTGATGGGCTGAACGAAGCCCAAGTGGTTGAACACCTGGCGATCTGCGAAAAAGCTTGGGATCAACGGTCCAATTTTGCTTCT